GGCACTGTCGATGTGGGGGGCGGGGACTACCACGTGTTGTTTTTTTGTAACACACACACACAGACACGTGTAAATGGGTGTGACCAGTGGTTGCAAATGTCTGAGCCCACTGCGAACACACTTGGGCTGCAAGGAAGGGTAAGCCTGTGGCACCTCAGTGATGACTGGAATTCGGGAATCTTCCCAGGACTCTCATATGAGCACACACACCTAGGCTTCCCTCTGTGTGTTCTGTAGGACCAGCTGCTTCTAGAATAGCTGTCCAGCCCCAGGCCCCTGTGCAGGTCCCAGTCTACTTGCGTTCTTGCTCCAGCCTCACTTGTTCGTTGGTTGGGTCGTTACTTCATTCATTCTGGGACAGTTATCGAGCACCTCCTGTCTGCTGGCTGCTGCTCTGAATACTTGGGCATGATTTTATCTAACCTTCTTGGCAACCTGGAATGTAGACCCTTCCACTCTTATTTTACAGACGAGAAAACTGAGGCTTAAAGAGGTTAAATGATAAAAACAGGCACGTCTTGTTTTATTGTGCTTCACGGTTACTGCGTTTTTTGCAAATTAAAGGTTTGTGGCTACCCTGTGTCGAGCACGTCTATTGGTGCCATTGTTCCAACAGCATTTGCTCACTTTATGTCTCTAGATAACGTCACGTTTTGGTAATTCTCACAGTATTTCATACTTTCCACCAACAAAAAGATTATGACTTGCTGAAGGCTCAGCTGACAGTTAGCATGTTTTAGTAATACAGTGTTAAGTCATGTATGTGGCTTTTTTAGACTTGATGCTGTTGCACACTTAACAGATTTAAATAATGCACTAGGATACCAAAAAATTCACGACTCGCTTTGTTGCGGTATTTCCTTTATTGCTGTGGTCTGGAGCCAAACCCGCAGTATCTCTGAGGTATGTCTATACAGAGAAATAAAAGGGGCCACTCGCAGAGCTGGCTTGATATTTTTGCTTTTTATCTCCCGTTTATATTTTTCTGTACTCTTATTTTTTTCCCCCATGATAAATGAGATTATATGATGCAAACCTCCATGTGGCCCACCTTTTCACTTAATACCATTCATCATTTTCCTGTGTCAGTAAAACTCTTCTCGTGCCCTTTATCTCAGTGAGTGGATGTAGCACTTAAGCCATCCACTGTTTCTGTGGATTCACATAATTTCCACTTTTCTCCGTTGTCAGTGAAATTGAGGGAAGTTTCCTTGCATGTTAAGTATCGTTCGCATTCTGGATTATTTCATCAGGTTAGATTGCAGGAAGGGGATCGCTGGGTCACAGGGATAATGATTTTTAACGTGAATTCTCTCAGTGTGTGTGCACACCTGCTGTGGCCGGGCCCATGCCAGGCTCTGAGGAGACAGCTTGGGGCGAGGCAGGACCTGTCCTTGCCTATTGAAGACCCATTTCTTGCCAAGGCCTCCTCTAGCCACAGGCACATCCCCACTGTGTGCCAAGGACCTTGGGCTCTCACCCCTGGTGACCAGCCATTGTCTCCTGTGTCCTCAGACTGACACGTCTGATCCGGAGAAGGTGGTCTCTGCCTTCCTGAAGGTGTCTTCTGTGTTCAAGGACGAAGCCGCAGTGAGGTCAGCGGTGCAGGATGCAGTAGGTACGTGGGGTGGGTGGGGCCCGGCTGGCTCCTGCATTTCACTGCCCCAGGGCTTGGGTCGGAACATTCTCCTCTCACCTGATCTTCCAGTGGGTTCTTGCCGTAGAGCCGGCCGGGTGCTCGCCTCTCTGCTTTTTGCAGATGGGGAAACTGAGGCCTTTCCCAAAGCCATACAGTTCTATACGGTGAGAACTCGGGGCAGGTGGCGCCCACCGCAGGAAGGTCGGACCTCTCGGAGGAGGGGTGATGAGAGCCGAGCCCTTGTCCCCACCTCTGAGCCTGTGCACACACAGTCCCCTCCACCTGGAGGTCCCCCTGCTTTCCCCGCATCTTTCCCAAGGCTTCCCAGGATCTCTAGTGTGGCCAGGTTGGGCCAGGCAGAGGGGGGAGGGAAAGGGTAGAAGGGAGTGGAAACACTTGGGAGGCTTTCTCCGGGGTTGTGGGTGACACTGAGGCGGGAGGGTCCATGGGAGGGGAGGCTGGGTGGGGTGGGGGTGGGAGTCTCTGTGTCTGCTCCCTGAGAGCCCCGCCCCACCGTGGGCGTTTGTGGGAACAGATTACCTGAATTCGGTTTCCCAGAACAGCCTCGCTCGCTCGGAAGCAGGGGCCCAGGCGGTCCCTGCGGGCCCTTGGCCATGCCTCCCCCCGTCCCTTCCCCTCCATTCCCCCTCCCCCACCCCCAGCATGGCTGAAACCTCCCCCAGCGGTGACCTGCCTCACTTAATCTCTGCCCAAGCCCGTCTTACTTGCGAGGCCAGGACAGAGAAGGGCCAAGGTATCCCAGCTGGCAGGTTGAGCCCTTCGCCTGTTGCTAGCTGTCCCCTCAGTCTGCCACCTGTGTCCACATCCCCCCCGCCGTGTTCACCTCCTGATGAGCGCAGGAGACAGGGCCCAGCCTGTGGCTCGGGCTGCGGGCCCTTAGGCCTCTGTGCCGCCGCCTTGCAGATACCTTGATGAAGAAGGCCTTCAGCTCATCCTCCTTCAACTCCAGCGCCTTCCTCACCAGGCTCCTCGTCCACATGGGGTTGCTCAAGGTGCGCTGGAAGGAGCGCGGGCCCTGGGTGGGGGGCGGGGGTGCCCCAGAGGCTGCATCATCCCGCACCTCGAGTCCTGCCGGGGCCTGTCACCCACACTGGCCCCAGGCCTGGGTCTGCTCAAGCAGCCTTGGCCTTTGTGGCAGGATTTGGGATTCAGCTTGACCTTGGCCGCGGGGCTGTCAGCAGGGGCTGGGTGGTAGAGACCTGGGGTCCCCCAGGTGAGCTTTTGAAGCTCACCCTGTCTTCTGCTGTGTGTTCCCCTTGCAGAGTGAAGACAAGATCAAGGCCATTGCCAACCTGTACGGCCCCCTGATGGCATTGAATCACATGGTGCAGCAGGAGTACTTCCCCAAGGCCCTTGCCCCTCTGCTGCTGGCATTCGTGACCAAGTGAGTGTGCCCTCATCAGCTCACACGGCCGGTGACCAGGCGTGCAGGCCTCTGGTCAGCTGAGGCTTCCCTGGCCTGGTGACTGGGGTGTGTCTGAGGCCCTCACACCTCTCGGGCCCTCGGCATCTGTGTTTGAGTCTCACCACCCCTGTGCCCAGCTGAGGACACAGGGCTCGGGGACAGTGTCTCCCTGAGAGAGACAGGGGATGTGCACTGGCGCCATCTTGCAGACGAGGAAGCGAGCTCCGGGTCAAAGGAGGTGTTGGCCCACGGTCGTGCCGCTGACCCAGGTCCTGTACCCGGCAGCGTCTCTGGGAGCAGTTCTGTGTTCATTCCCTCAGCTACCTAGGCCAAAGGGGCCTGCCCACTCGGCCTTCCACAGCCACAGGCCCCTCTCCTGGGGACGCCAAGTGCCCAGACACACGAAACCTTGGCCTCGTCCTGGAGCGTCCTGGGAAAGGTGGGGCACTGGCCACAGTCGAGTAAAGAGCCTCCAGACTTCAGGGCCCATCAGGGGTGGGTTGGGAGGCTTGTCCCCATCCTCACTGAGGCCCTGTGTGGCCCCCAGCTGACGTCCGGCCATCCCCAGGCCTCAGTCTTCCCATTTGCCCAACCAAGGGGTGGGTGAGGTTGTCTCCTAGAGCTCTGACCAGCCACACTGGCAGTGAATCCAGCACCTTGGGGGAAAGTGGGAGGGCGTGTAGGAGAAAGGAGGTTCCCGCACCCTGGGGGACATGTAACACCGGCAGGTCCAGACCATCAGTCAGGGTGCTTAGAGCATGGGACGAAGTGTTGTGGGGCAGCCCGCCTGGGGTGGGGGGTGAGGAGCATGCGCCGGTCCCCCAGGACCTAGTTGGCACCTCGGCCTCTTTGCCACCTGACATCTCTTAGTTCCGTGTGCATAGCAGCACCTCCTTAGTTGGGCCTGACTCCCTCGCCGTGTCTGCCCCCTTCTCTGCCACCACACTGCCCCCACCCAAACCGCCCCTTGCACTGCAGCTGCTCCTCTGCCGGAGTCCAGGGCAAGTCCAAACCCTGGTCCTGGATCTTGTGCTGGCTGCAGCCTGGCCTCCCCGCAGCGAGGTGCACTCTCCCCACACCTGTTCCCTCTGCAGGAGATGTTGCCTCAACCCGTGGGCCTTCGCTCGGGCTGTCTGGGGTGTCCCCACATGGTGGCCCTAGCCCCCGCCTGCCAACCCCTGACGAAGCCCAGCTCCCTCTGTCTCCTTCCAACCCCTGGTTGGGACTGTTCCCTCTGCATTCCCATCATCCCCTGTGTGGCCCTTGGGCTGGGCATGGACCACCCCCGCCAGAAGACACCCTCGCCCTTGATGGTCAGTTGACAGGCTGCCTCCTCCTGGCTTGTTGCCTGCCTTCCAGTGCAGGCCTCAGTCTGTTCCACTTTAAAAGAGGGGGGCTTGGTAAAGAGCTGCTCCCAGGCCTCGGGGGTGACTGAGCGACGGTGGAGTGATATGCATGCCCCCTTCCCTCAAGTCCCAGCCCAGTGGTCTGGGATCCAAGCCCGGACGGGGCCAGGTAAGGTGTGGGCTTCGGTCCTGGCTGCACCACAGGCTCACCCATCTCCCTGAGCATCTTTCACCAGTTTCTTTCTCTGCAGTGAGACTAATGATCTTGATGGTAACCTGTTACTTGTAGGGGCCCAGGTGGGACTTCTGTGGTCCACTCTTACATGTGCATTAGTGGCTGCTGAGGGCTCCCTGGCCCTGTGCGCACTGGAGAGGCCTCGGAGAGCCTGTCTGGTGGAGAGCAGAGGCCCAGGTTCCCTGCCGGCTCGGCGGGCCTGTATTCTGGCCAGCTCTAGGCCATGTGGCCTCGGGTGTATCACCCACCCCTCTTAGCCCCACCTACCCCCACCTGCAGAAGGTGGGAGCTACCGTCTCCCTTGCAAAGTCACTGAAAATGAGAACGATGGAGTCGGGCGTGTATTTTGACCTCAAAAACGGCCCCTACTCCATCTTCACAGGTGGGAAACTGGCCCTGCTGTAGCCTGAGCTTCCTGGCCCCCAGAGGTGCCCGCCCCACCTGCTGATCCTTCTTTCCCCGCAGGCCCAATGGCGCCCTGGAATCCTGCTCCTTTGCCCGCCACAATCTACTGCAGACGCTCTACAAGGTCTAGACGCAATCTGGTCTCTCCCCATCCCTCGGCCTGGACGGGTGCCTTGGGAAGGGACTCAGAGGAAGGACTCTGGCCAGCAGCAAGGAGGGTCTTTGTCGGGTGTGTTGTGTCTCCTGAGTATGCGTGTTGGTGCGGCCTATGTGCAGGTGTGTGCTTCATGTTGGGGTTCGGATTTTTGACGTCTCTCTGCTGGACTGGCCCTGGTCCCGCTGGAGGGGAGCTGGCCCCCAGGCAGACGGGCTGCAGGCTGCTCTGCCATTAAACTCACCGCCATCTGAGGAACGCTCTGCTGATCTGTGCTGCAGGCGCCAGGCCCTGGTGGCTGTCCCCACCCACCTCGCCTTCCTTATCCTCTGGGGCTGCACCAAAGCCTGGGGTGTTGCTGTCCGTGTGCTGTTCCCTCTGTGTTGCGGCTGGGTGTTTCCTGCCCTGCCTGGGGCTGCTCACCCGATGGCTGCCTCTGCTTCCTGTTGCCAAGTCCCTGTCGCCAAGTCCCGGTCCTGCAGCCGCCACTCTTCCTACCATCCACCCACGCTGTGCTGAGTCCTCAGCCTGAGGGCCAGAGACTGCTGTGCGTGGGGCCGCGAGCAGAGGGCAAGACCCTGGCACCCACACCGTGTGGACAGGAAGAGAAGCCAGTGGGCAGACACTAGGGTCTAGGAGCTGGACTTGCCTGGACGGTGCCGGCTCCGTGCCCGGTGGGCCCTTCTCTGACTGCGGAAGTGTCTGTGACAGGCCTGTGGGCTGAGCTGGAAGGGGCATCTGGGCAGGCCCAAACCTGTTCTCCAGCCTTGGGGGGCAGGGCCAGGGCCCACTAATGCCTGAGCTGCATCTTGGGCACCCTTAAGGATCTGGGGCACCCTTAAGGATCTGGGGCAGGGGCCGGGTGGGGGCTGGGCATGCCCTGTGACACCTGTGCTTCCCCTCATGCTCTTTGTGTGTCTGGGCTGTGCCCGGGGCTTCACAAATAAAGTCATGTGTAGCAGCAGCGGAGACTTGAGAAGCTTTTCACCTAAAGTGGGCTGTTCTCAAGGCCTTGGTGCCTGGGGTCCCACCTCAGCATGGCCACTGTGACCCCATCTTGGTCTGTAGTAGGGGGGCAGTCTATCTTGCAGAAGAGCTGCCGGGCCAGCCCTGTGTCATGACCTGGGGCAGACCTGGATGCTTCCTCTGTTGTGGGCATGCCAGCTACCCTCGGACAGCTGGGCGGGTGGTACCCAGGAGGGGCAGTGACTCATAGGGGTCGGGGAGGGTGGTGGGACTCCTGCTCCGGGCAGGGGAGGATCTGAGTTGTGGCCTGTCTCACCTGCCTGGCCCCACTTCACCCTTTACCCGACCTCTGGGCTACTGCTCCACTGGCCCCTTCATTGCTCCATTGGTGGGCCTGGCTGAGCTGGACGGTATCCAGAGTTTGCCACAGGCCCGGCTGGCTGCACAGGCAGGGGCCCCTGGGCCTGCCTGGGAAGCCGCCACGGGGCCCAGAGTGGAGGGCACCTCCCCTGGGGTCCTCCCCTCCGGCTGCCACAGCGGTGTGAGGATAGCCCAGCACTTCTTACCGCCCCTCCTAGACAGCAGGCACAGGAACAGAGAGGCCCCTCCGATGTTTTTTAGGGGGCAGTGTGTCTTTATTGGCCACGGACTAGTACAACATCTTTCTAGGCCGGGTGGCAGAAGCGATGCCCCGGCCCTCGCCCTCCCCTCCTCCCAGCTGATAAAGCAGGTGGAGGTCAGACCAACTCCACCCCCATCTCCTTGCCTGGCCCTGTTTTGAGCTCTGGGGCTGCAGGTGCAGCCCTCGGAGAGCTCCCAGTCTGGTGCAGGAGACCACGTGTGGCCCAGAGTGGGGACTGTGGGCAGTGAGGTCAGAGAAGCCTTCAAGAGTGAGGGGTGCAAGAGCTGAGTCTTGAGGTTCAAAGAGGACTTTTCACAGGTGATATTTGAGAGAGAGAGACGCTGCAGCTTGGAGCCGAACAGGGCTCTGTCCAAGGTTTTCTGGCCTGGGCCTTCCTTCCCTCCAGGCCACCCAGGGCTGGCCCTTGTTCCTTCCTAGCTAATGCGGGTCCAAGCTTCAGATCAGACTGAGAGAAGCAGCACAGATCTCGTTTCCTTAACCTCGCAACAGGTCAGCAGTGCCTGACTCCTGGGACCCAGGGACTGAGGAGGGTGCCCCGCCCCTGCTCAGCCCTTCAGAGCAGCTCCAGGTGCAGGGAAGGGCCTGGGGGCCTCTACTTGCTGCTTACTGAGAAAGGGAATTTCCCCCCCAGACTCAAACACCAACCCTAAGATTACACAGGCTCCAGGTCCCTGAGCACCGTGATTTGGGGTCCGCAAGATCACAGATGCCTTTGCCTGGGCAGCCTGTGACCCCCACATACGAAGGCCTGCTCAGCACCAGGCTTATTCCCACTAAAAGCTCAGCTATGGGCCAGGAGCTCACAAACTATCAATTCCATTCTAAAAGCTCAGACTGGAAAACCCCCAGGAAGCATGGCAGAAGGCACTCCTAGCAGCACTTGTTTGATGGCAGGAAGCTAGAAGTGACTCACAGGCCATCAGGAAAATGGATCAGGAGCAAAGCCGCACAACGCAACGTTACACAGCAGTGACGATGCATCCACTGCGGCTCGGCATGCACCGTGCACGCCATGGATGGAACAATAGTGACGTCGAGTGAAGAAAATCTGTCAACGCCCTTAGTTCAAAAGCCAGTAAACGGAACATGTGGGCATGTGTATGCGTGTGCCAAACCCAGCTTTCAGGATAGGAGTTAGTCTGGGGAGGGCAGGGGACAGGACAGGGTGGAAGCACAGTTAGGCCACCGTTGTGCACCAAGATTCGAAGTGATCCAAATCCATTTGCCTAAGGAGCCATATTTTTTAAAGGAAAATTAAACACAGGAGAGCATTTCTTGACACAAAAAGCACAAGCCATAAGAAAATTTGCCTATTTCAAAATAAAAAGTGAAAAACAATGACCAAAAATACCATAAAAGTTAACGACAAGGTGAGAGAGTAGAAAGACATTGCAACATATATAATAACAAGGATTCATGTTGAGAATATCCATCCAGTTGAAAATTGGGCAAAGGGTATAAACAGGCAGTTCACAGAAGAGGAGACCTGAAGAGCAAAAAGAAATTATGTTTGGGCTTCCCTGGTGGCGCAGTGGTTAAGAATCCGCCTGCCAATACAAGGGACACGGGTTCGAGCCCTGGCCCGAGAAGATCCCACATGCCACGGAGCAACTAAGCCCGTGCGCCACAACTACTGAGCCTGAGCTCTAGAGCCCGCGTGCCACAACTACTGAAGCCGGCGCGCCTAGAGCCCGTGCTCCGCAACGAGAGAAGCCACCACAATGAGAAGCCTGCGCACCGCAATAAAGAGTAGCCCCCACTCGCCGCAACTAGAGGTAGCCCGCGCACAGCAACAAAGACCCAACACAGCCCAAAATAAATAAATTAATTTTTTTAAAAAGGGAATTATGTTCAACTTTATTGGAAAATAAGGAAATGTGAAATACAACCACAGATAATACCATTTCAGACCAGACTGGCAAATACGATTAAAAGAGGTGACACCAGGAAAGAGGTGAATCTGGCACGTCTTACACATTGCTGGAGGGATGTCCAACTAATAAAAGCCACTTTAGACAGCAATTTGGCAGATACTGAGAAAGCTGAAAATGCATATAGCCCGTGACCCCAAATTCCATTTCTAAGGATATACTTGAGAGAAACTTGTATGTGTACACAAGGAGACAAGTACAACAGCAGCCTGATGAGGGATACCAGAAAATTAAGAAATAACCAAATGTCCGTAAGTAGAATAGATTATGGCACATGCATGCAGTGAGATCATATGTAACAGTTAAAATGAGTAAACCGGATGCAGAAGCTACCTGTATCCACTGAGTAAATCTTCAAAAAACACTGCTGAGTGAAAGAAACAAGTTTGCAAAATAATATGCACTGTTCGATACGTTTAAAAAATTGAATGCCCTGTATCATAAAATGATACCACTTCATGAAAGTGGTTGCCTCTGGGTAGAGAGGGAGGAGAGAGAATGAGACTACACCTCCTTATTACCTGCGCCTGGGGCAGAGTGCGCCCCTGCCTCTGTCCCATGCCGCTGTTGTGGAATATTTATAGAAGGGAATGCTGGAATGCTATATAAAAATGAACGAAATTTTACAATATGCACCATAGGTGAATCTCACTAAAATAATACTGATTAAAAAAAGCCAGACAGGGCTTCCCTGGAGGCACAGTGGTTAAGAATCCGCCTGCCAATGCAGGGGACACGGGTTCGAGCCCTGGTCCGGGAAGATCCCATGTGCCGCGGAGCAACTAAGCCCGTGCGCCACAACTACTGAGCCTGCGCTCTAGCGCCCGCGTGCCACAACTACTGAAGTCCGCGCACCTAGAGCCCGTGCTCCGCAACGAGAGAAGCCACCGCAATGAGAAGCCTGCGCACCGCAACGAAGAGTAGCCCCCGCTCGCTGCAACTAGAGAAAGCCCGCGTGCAGCAACGAAGACCCAACGCAGCCAAAAAAAAAAAAAAAAAGCCAGACATAAAAGGATAAACACTGGGAACTTCCCTGGTGGTCCAGTGGTTAAGACTCCGCGTTTCCAATACAGGGGGCCTAGGTTTGATCCCTGGTCAGGGAACTAGATCCCACATGCCAAAACTAGGACCCAGCGCAGCCAAATAAATGTTAATAAAAAGTCTGTGTGTGGTGTGACACTATTTCTTATTTGTTTTTTGTTTTTAAAGCCAAACAACAGTAATGAAAGCTGCATTTCCACCAGAAACACAGATCTAAAATATAGGATCTGAAAAATCATAGCATACATAAAGGTTTTAAATGTTTGCTATGGTCTAGATAAACTATTTCATTTTTTAAAAAAATGCACATGTCCCCAGGAAGATAAGTATTTAGGTATTCTTTGCAACACTATAATAACAAAAAAACTGGACGCAACCTAAATGTCCAAGATTAA